TTTGGGATGCTTAAGATCCTTTCTTTTTTGTCATGGTGGTTTATTTATAACCTAGACTAGGCTTTTTAAAATGTTGGAATTGTATAGGAACAAAGAATGTAAGAAACCCAGTTTTATCGCGAAAACCCACGAGATTTGTAGGCATTTTCCGGCCCTAGCTAGATATTTCTATTCCCCTCCTTCATTGCTTCAAATCCATATATGGCATGCTGGTGGTGGTTGTGAAATAGAGCTAGTCGGACTCCATATTGTTTTCCTGCCAAATTTGTAGAATCCAGCCAACCTATGGCTTGAAACCGGGTCGACCTGACCCCCAACCCAGAACCGGATCTGACTCGACCCAAAATCTTGTTTCGACCTGACCCAAACCCAAATGAAATATTCTGTTAGGGAATATTCTGTCAGGGAATATTCTGTTAGGGAATATTTCATCAAGGAATATTCTCTGGAATATTTCCTAGAATATTCCTATTGACTTTACAAAATTTGCCCGAGGCCCCCCCTTTGGGTTTTTCGAGGTCCTAAATTCGTTTACGATGTCCGTTTTCCCAAATTCAATCATTTTAGTAGAGTTTTATTAATTGGTCACTTTATGTGCTTAGGTGCGCTGTTAGTGGCATTTCTATCTTCTTTAGTTTGCATGGCTCTTCGACGACAAAGTATTTGTTAGTGGACCCCTTCCAAAATGCATGATTTTATTATTAAAAATGCATAAAGGAAAAGCATGATTTTATGACTACGTTTTATGAAACGTTTATGAGAAAATTGGATTTACTCTTTATGAAATATCATGCTATATCGAATTTATGTTTACTGAGGTATTTATGAACATGGATTTATGATATAATGTTTGAGCTATTGAGCTCCCATGATATATATATTGGAAAGATTATGTTCATGATTTTATGTGCTTACTTAGTGGTTATTCATATTATGTGCCTACGGGCGAATGATATTTATATATGCCTTCGGTAGGGTGATGTAGTGGCTTCGGTCGAAAGATATTTAAATATGGCTTTGGTCGGGCGATGTAGGACCTTCGGGCGATTATGAAACCACTACTAAGCATTTATATATGATATATGTTTTACAAAGGTTTTATGGCATGCTAGGGTTTTCGGAAAAACCTATTACTTATTATGCTATATGAGTTTCCTAAATAGGGGTTAGTACATTGAAGAATAACAGTTTTAGTATTACATATATATATATATATATATATATGTATATTACACACTTGGTCCACTCATGTTTTTTTTTAGCCCCCTTCAGGACCTAGAATCGATGCGTACAATCCCGACGTCAAGGCACTATCACATGGGTATCTTCGAGTCCTCTCAGTGTGGGACCCATTCCTTTGTTTGTAACTTTTCATAATATTCCTTCTAAAGTATTCTTGATTAGTTGTATACTCTGAACATGTTCCCATAATTGCATATTCATATTAGTTAAATTTACGTGTTTTTATTTACGTTCGTCCTTTCTTCATAACTTTCATGCATGTTAATATGGCTTCGTCACCCTCGGGTGTCGGCCAACACATGCCTACTTTGGTGTTTGGAAGACATCGAGATTGGGCGTGTTAGAAGTGCTTCGACTTCAGATTATAGATTGTTGAATCCTAGGAGACGGATGCCTACCAAATTACAAGCACAAGAGTAGGGGCGAAATTCTATCTTTCGGACATTGCATTTATGCAAGCCTCAATCTCCAAGTTTGTCAGTGCTTCTAACTTTCTCTCTTGTTGTTTATATTAATCTCATATATAATTGATGTTGTGAATTTCTTTATGATTATTATTAGTGTAATTCTTGTGTTTTTTTTATTTTATATTTTTCTCCAACAGTAATATACCAGCCACTATATTGGCTAAACATTGACCCAACACAATTTGATAGTTTTCGCATCTTGCATTTCCAAACATATATCGATGGTGATAACTGGAGCCAAAATTTTATATTGGTTATGTGCGTGGACCAAAAGACATTGGCTGTCTCTACCGTTAGAGCTTCACGGTGATAATGAAAAAAAGTAAGAGAAAGAGGAGAGAGGGACGAGACCAAGAAAGATCGTGGATGCCAAAGGACCAAAGAAAAGGCCCGTGACTAATGTTTTTTCTTTATATTTATCTCCACCTAGCTTGGGTTTTTCAAGTGGTATTCCAAAAGGACAGGAGAAAAATGTACTTGAAAACCTAGTTTCATAGATTATCTAACCAATGATTGAGGTAGCTTGACCATAAATATATGCCTTCGAGAAGTAGTTAAGTACCTAGCTAAACTAGTTAATTACGTTATAGGGAATTTCTACTAAATTCATGACCCATTCCTTTTTTATTTATTTAGAAAGCAATATGTAAGTCTTCTATAATATGCATACTAAAAGTACTAATCCTAAGATGTTATTGAACAAAGCAAAAGATGAACTACAAACAACACCAACAAGAAAAGATCTTTCGCTCTCTTTACACGCCTTATACACTCTTGTATGAGGTAGAGTTTTGTGCTTGAATATTGTGTATGAAAATGGGAATCTAAGCCATATATTTATAGATGAGAGAGTATTAGGTTTCTTTCCCATAAGGAAAGCCCTTGTTTCTTTAGCATTTCCATAATTCATGATCTAACAGGATAGATATTCCCATTGATTGTAGCTTTACTTCCTATCTTGTATTCTTAATCAATGGGGCTTCTAAATAGATGTAAGCCCACAAAGTTTTACATTCTCCCACTTGGGCGAATGCCTATTCAAAAGCTCTATTTAAGATCAAGAATCGATTTCCTATGCATGCAACTTTGGATGATTATTTGATAACAATATTTATTCAAACTTAGTGTCAAATATCATTAGCCCATAGGATTATAGACCATGATATCCAATATAGCAAATACATACCTCTACAATCACATACAAGCAATGATATTCACATAAAGTACCAACAAGTCGTGGACAAATATGTGTGTGTGTGTGCGCGCACGCGTGTGCATATACATATATATGTGCATATACATATATATGGTTCTTTTTACACAATATATATATATATATATGTATGTAAATAAAGGACCATATATGTATATATATAGACACACACACACATATGATAAGGGAGCTTAAGGGTGAGTATCACACTTGACACATATATGGTCCTTTTTACCATCATAAAGTGATCTTCCTTAATGCTTAAATAAGCCCTTATGTCGAAAGGACAATCTTGATATAACAAAAATTAGCTAACTGTTATGAAATAGGTTTGTAGTAATAAGACACATTCATCTTTAGTGCATATCCATGAAATCTCAATGAAAGGAAAAGTTTAAAAATTGAAAAATATAACTAACAAACAAAAATAATTCCAGCTCCCACTAATCTAAGGCATCTTCAAAACTTGATAGAACTCTCATACTTGTGACATGTTTTAGAAAACCTATGTCAGGGATAGCTTTGTTTAATGAGTCTGCTATCATGTCTTTAGTGCTAATATAATCAATAGTAGTGATTCCTTCTTGCACCTTCTCCCTAACCTTCAAAAACTTTCGTTAATATGCTTGAATCTTGAAGATATCTTGTTATTCCTGGTTAGGAAAACGGCTTCCTTGTTGTCACAGTACAATTGAATAGGTCTTGATATATTGTCAACAACCTGCAAACCTAATGTAAAATTTCTCAACCAAATGTCATGCATTGTTGCTTTGAACACATGCCATAAACATTGCATGCATTTGTCTAGACAACCATTGTCTTTTGTTTGACACTCTTCCAAGATTCTGCACAACCTCAAACGTAAACACGAAACTAAAAGTTGACATTAAGTCATATGTATATCTAGCAAAGTCAGAATCAAAATAACTTACTAATTCTATCTCATCACTCTTCTGTAAAACAGGCATGTGGTCTTTGCCTCCTTGTAAATAACCTAGAATTTTCTTTGTAGCTTTTCAAAGTGCCAATCCAGGATGAGATTGGTACCTACCTAGAATACTAACATGAAATACTAGGTCTGGGCGAGTAGAAACTTAAGCATACATGATGCTTTCTACAACTGAAGCATAGGGCTTGTTCTTCATCTCCTCATTTTTTATATCATTTCTTGGACAATCTTTGTTACTCAATTTGTGTGTCCCTTGGATATTGGAACTTCAACACCATTACTTGTCAACATATTAAATATCTTCAACATGTTCTCAATATAAGCCTTCTGAGACAAACCTAACTAACCATGGTTTATATCTCTACGAAAAGAAGCCTCTCCAAATCCTTCATATCGAAATTCTTTAACAGGATATTTTTGGTCTCATGTAATAACTCCCTATCACTACTGGCAAGTAGTATGTCATCAGCTTAATTACTCCCGCTAAATTTAACATATATGCACGCATCAATTTTGTTTTCTTTGAAACCATATGAATTGATAGCCTTATCAAATTTCAAATATTGTCTTGAATCTTGTTTTAATCTAAAGATTGATCTCTTCAACTTACACACAAAGTGTTTTTTCCCCTTCTCCACAAAACCTTCAGGTTGCTTCATGGATATCTTTCATCCAAATCAACATTGAGGAATGCAGTTTTCACGTCTATTTGGTGCAAGCATAGATCAAAGTGTGCTACCAAGGCCATGATGATTCTAAATGCATCTTTTTTCAAAACTAGGGAAAGGGCTTCATTGTAATCTACACCTTCTCGTTGTGTGAAACCTTTAACTACCAATCTTGCCTTGTGTTTTTCAATGCTGCCTTTAGAATCCTTCTTAGTTTTAATCACCCACTGATATCCAAAAGGTTTAACTTCTTGTCTTAGTTCAACAAGCTCCCACACTTTATTGTTTTCCACAGACTCTAACTCACTTTGCATAGCTTCAATCCATTTCTCAAACTCTAAACTAGTGATCGCTTCTTTGTAAGTTAAAAGGTTTCATATTTAAAATAATCCATAATGTGGTTGGCCTTCTTTGTCCTTGAGATCTCCTAACTTTTTCTTGCTCATGTGCTTTGTCAACAGGTTCAACATTGACTTCTTCATGTGAAGCTTCTTTGTGCCCAATTTCTTGATTCATTGGCTCAACAACATGCTCAACTTGTGGTAGAGTTTGAAGTAGAGGAATGGTGATTATTAGTTCAAGAGTGGTGGGATTGACCGGTCAGTCTCAACTTCTCCTTCTTCTTAAAAAATAAAGTTCTTGTTCACTCTTTCACCAAATTATCACACTTAATAAACTTAGGTTTTCCACTATCTACAATTATGGTGGTGTGCTTGGGACTATAAAACCGAAAATCTATAGATGTTTTTACATAGCTAATGAAAAAACAACTGATTATCATGTAACCCAATTTAGACAACTCTAGATTGTAAATTCTTGCTTCGGTTTTACAACCTCATACGTGTAAGTGATTCAAACTTAGTTTTCTTTTATTTCACAACTCAAATGGTGTTTTAGAAACTGACTTGATTGGAATTCTTTAAGGATGTAGTTGTTAGCCTTAATCTCATCACCCCATAGAAATCTTGGAAGAATATCAGTGTTACAAATCATACTTCTCACAATACCTTTCAAAGTCCTATTTCTTTGTTCAAGTACTCCATTCTATCCTGGGGTCCCAAGGTTTGTGTACTCAGCAAATATCCCACAATCTTGTAATGTGCAAAAGGTGAAAAATTCCTTCCTTGCTCATCATACTTGCTATAATATTTCTCCACCCTTTTGGATCAAACCACTTTAATTTTTACGTTAAGTTGGTTTTATACTTCAGTTTTAAAGACTTTGAAAACCTCAAAAGCACTAGATTTAGTTGGAATTAGGTAGAGATAACAAAACCTTGAGTAGTGACTCATCAATGAAAGTGATGAAATACATATGACCATTTAGGGTTTCAATTGCAAAATGACCACACATGTCTGTATGGATGATTTTTAAAAGATGAGTACTTCTAGTTGACCCTAATTTCCTTGAGTTAGTCATATATTTCCCTTAATGCACTCAATGCAATCACCATAATCTGAAAAGTCTAATGGAGGAAGGATTTTCTCCGTGACTAGGCGTTGCATTCTTTCTCTAGATATATGACCTAGACGTTTGTGTAATAACCTTGATGAACTATCTCTTATGAGAGAACGTTTTTTACCTATGATCTCAACATTAAGAGCCAATTTTTCATTTTCATGAGTTAATTGAAACATTTCATCAATAACAAACCATTCCCAACAAGAATAGAATTTAAAAACAAATGGAAACCACATTCATGCATACTAACTTTAAACTTCGACTTAACTAGTTTGGAAACAGAAATCAAATTCCTCCTCATGGAAGGTATATAAACAACTTTTAAGTCTAACAAGAACTAGACTCTATATAAAGCCTAACAGTACATGTTACATGGACTGGAACACTTTTGCCATTCCCTAGGATTTGAACTTGATATTTATTTGGTGTTTTATGGCTTATAAAATTTTGCAACGAATTAGCAACATGGATAGAAGATTCAATGTCAATAATCCAAGTACTGGAAGGAAATATAAAGACAAAATTTGACTCAAAACAAACTAATTCGTTGCAAAAGTAACAACCAAGGTTATTGGTTTGATTGACAAGAGTAGGTGTCTTAAGGAGAAGGGTTCGGCTTTGCACCTATTGGCAATATGAGAGCTTCCCTTGAAGGGGCGGCGTTTTTGAGTACTAGCAGTGGCGAGATGCATAGGGTGAGTCTCCTTCTCTTTCTTGAGTCTTTCTTCTTCTTGAACACAAACAAGAATCAAGAACAGAAAAGAAAAAGAATTAATGAGTTTCTTGAGTAAAAGAAGAAGACGTGGAAATTGATTAATCTTAAAAATCTGACAAAAGTTAAAGAACTTCAGTTGAAAATTTGAAACCAATACGGTTTCAATCAAACATCATTAGTGGTTAGGGACCTAAATTTTTTCTTTCTTTATATTTGATTTCAATAAAAATATCAGTTCATGATATTTACATCATTTGTTAAAATATTAAATTTGTAAATAAAGAGAGAAAATATATAAAATTGAACAATGTTTTACGTTTAATCTGTCCCATGATAAGATAAGATAGTCACTACTCAAGTTTTTCTTTTGGTATACGATATGCCTATATGATGAGGTAGGGTTCAAATGGAAAAGGCCAACAATATAATTCAGCATACACACACACACTAATATTAATTGTTGCACTGGATGGGTTGCATCTGTCTTCTTCTCTTCCTATAATATATCATCATCAGCACATTAAAGAATAGTTTCCTTACCACCACACAATTAAAAGACACCAAAGATTTGGAAAATATGACGTGACCTAAGAACTGAGTATGCAAATGCAAATACCTAAGTCTAAGTGACCAAGTTGTACACCTTCTTTGTTTTGTGGTCGGTGTATATATGTAACAACATATATATATGTCGATCCTTAATAGTAAGTGTGTATGCCTATGGATCATTTACACACAGGCAATGCACTTACAGAATCACCTTGATCTACTCGAAGCAGCTACATATCCTAACCCTAACCGTTTGAAAAATCATCTGTGAGGTGCGGAATTAAGCAACTAAAGAAAAACTTGACGATATTGAATTAACTCTAGCACCTGGACGCCAGTGTTCGATTTCCCAAAAAACTTCATAAACTAAGAATATTTCAAGCAATAAAAGAAAGAACTAATGAAAGGAAAATAATTGGTGAGAATGGTTACGCATCTAATATATTTCATAATTATTCTTTAGCATTCAACATTATAATTAGAACTGTTCGTTCTTTTATTATCATTTAAAGATCATATCTGTAAAAAAAAAAAAAAAAAATCATCCAATTATTATGATGCAAGAAGATTGAAAATTTTCGATGCTAATTAATTAAGAATTTTTAACAAAAGATATACAAATTATAAGAATACGTTAGGTTCAGAGTTTGAAACCCTTCTAATGTAATTAAAAAAATGACTCATATTAATGCTAATGTCATTCCTCCTCACTTGTAAATGAGAGCTTTAAGTTCGATTCTTCTAAAGGAGAATTTGAACCATATTATTACTAGCTCATTGTGAGGCTTAATCCACTCCTCCACTACATAATTTAAGTCCTATCTTTTTCATTTGAATATTAGGAAGTCGATGGCTAACCTCGATAATTAACCAATTAAACATTTTTACTGTGAATTAATACTAAGACTACTGTTTAGTAAGAACAGTAGTAGTGTCGATGCCCATGTCTATATTAATTGATGATAGCTGCATCGGTTTGGAAAGATACATAAAAAGTTGACTAATTAACGAGACATTGTGGTCATCTTCCTATTCATAGGCAATTATTTGACAAAATTGATGTAAGTGCCAATATTTATGAGTTATGACAGTACTTTTGTGTCCCCTCTATGAGTGCATCACTTTGATGGTTAGTCTTGACAAATGTGTTTTAATTCTACAAGTGGTATAATCGTAATTGTTCAATTTTTCAATCATGAGATTATTTTCACAAAAAATTCAATTTGGCGATTATTTTGGATCACAAAAACAATATTTCATTGCTGTCTATTTATTTATGCAACCCCGACGGATCAGGCAGCTGCGCACGGGAAGTGACAACCTGTGACCGGAAGTTAATAAAATAATAAGTTTATAACAAAACACAGCTTTACACACGTAAGAACATTGTGCAAGAAAGTGTGAAACAAGTTCAGATCACGAAGACCTAATGCAGTCCGGGAGAAACAATACTACATAAACGCACCCAAAGGTGGCCCTACACTGATGATAGTCTGTCAGATATGTCGGGGAAATCCTCAGGGAAGCCAACCAAAAGTGCTAGCCAATTAGAATCTGGAGGGACGCAAAACAGAAAGTGTAAGTAGGCAAAAACAAAGTTTTTCAAAAACCATTTCAAAAACAAGGTTCTATCCCCTCGCCGTAAAACCTGTATACTTCCCAGAAAACATAACATACATATATATATATAAGTCATGCTCAGAAATATGCCATGTCAAAGCCTCGAAGGAAAATGCAAGTGCTCAGGTAATGTCAAATCAATGTCATGTAATCTGTCAGCTGTAGTCACCTAACGTGACCTGTACGGTTGAATCTAGAGCTCAAATCTCCATCTCACTAGCTATACTTGGACAAGAGTCGGAACCATCTAAAGTGGTCTGTACGACAGGACTGGGTGTAATATAAGTACGCTCAAGTGCTACGATCACGTGAAGACTGAGCGAATAATCCCGGGTCACCTACGAGTTGGAACCACCTAAAGTGGTCTGTACAACAAGACTGTGCACCTAACTTGGATCCAAGATGAGCGTGTGGTGCAGGAGGTGAACATCACGTGAAGGACTGTGCCCAACTCTGGGCGGGAGCACTAACACCGAGGGTGCAGGTTATGAGCTCTCTATGTATCTCAAATCACTACTGAACGTAAATATAAATCATACTTACCTGGCACTTACCTGTGCGTCCACAGCACCAGTACACATATATATATACAACTAATAATGCGTAAATAAATGGCAGACAATAAACATGGCATATAAACGAATAAACGTTTTAAATCAATTTCTGGGAAAAACATGAGTATATAGGTATATACGGAAAACCAAAAGACCACTCACTGGTATGTGGAAGGGTCGTAACCCTCTTGCCTCGAGTGACCGCGCTCGTCCTCGGGATAGGTCTCACCTATATGCGAAACAACTATAAAAACGTTAATTTTAAAACACATAACCAACATCACGAAATAACTTCTCATACATAGCTCAAATGGGGTGTATGAATACACCAACGTGATCTACTCAACCTCAGGAACATCCCCATATTTTTAGAAAAAATTTCCACCATCGAACACGCCGACCACGCGCAGGCACGTGCCTAGCACACTGACGGCGTCAGTTAACGCCGTCAGGAATATTCCGTTAACTTTAACGGATTCCGTTAACTTTAACGGATTCCGTTAACGCCGTTAGGAATATTCCGTCCAAACTGACGGAATATTCCGTCATCTTCTCCGGCGAGGCTCCGGCGCCGGAAAATCGTGAAAACTTCAAATCTTCATATCTTCTTCGTTTTTCAACCAAATTTCACAAAATTGGTACCAAAATGAAGCTTACAACAAGAGGAACAAATCCATACCACTTTCAAGTGCTAAAACACACGGAATCTCGCCGGGAAAACACTACCAACTCCGGCCAACCTTGAATCTCACGATCCCGACGTCCAAAACCTTCAAACGAACCACCCCGAGCCTCCTAAGGACCTCACCAAGCTTCCTACAAGCTTGAAATTCCCAAAAACACAAGAATTAACGTGTGCATGAACAGTGACAAAATCGGGGTATCCCGAGTTCGACGTAAAAATGAAGGTATCCTTACCTGAAATGGGTATGGTTGAACTTCTACGGACCTCACGAGCATGAATATATATTTGTTTCCTCGATCTGTGAAGATTTGAAGGGTTTTGGGGTATGTCCTGGGATAGGAAATGGGGGAGAGAAAGGGCTCGGGACAGGGTGCAGGGCAGGGAAAGGGTGAGGGAAAATATGGGAGAGTGTGTGTGTGGTCCACAACCTGCCAACAACAAACCAAAAACAACCACACAACCAAAAATCATATTAAGGGCAAAATCGTCATTTCACCCCTACGGTTCGAAAATTCCGGAACGGGCTGTCACATTTGATATATATATATATATATATATAAATGATTAAAAGATCACTAATTCAATTGTCTTCTAACAAAAATGATTTTTAAATGATGGTTAATACGTTAATGACAACTGAGGTTCACCTAGAAAATGAACACAAGTGTTAATGTTAGTCATCTTATCCCAATTGCCACTTGCATACGACTAAAACATGTCACAAAATCCCTTTCTTGGTAGCTTTTAAAAAGCGACAGAAGTATAATAGAATTTAATTTTCTAGAATATTTGAAGTTTCTTTCTTATCTTGTCAACTTGTAAGTATAATGAAATAAGTGACAAAAAAATGTATAATGAAATAATATATTACTAATTTTTTTCTTTGAACTTTAAGTTTAGATGTAAATAATGGAATTTCTGGCCACGTTAAGTTTTCATACAACTGCAAGGAACACTTGTAGCTTAAAAAGTAAGAACATTTATCCACACTCAAACAAAGAAATTCTGCAAGAACATACCTTTTGGAAAGTAAAAAATTGTAGCCAATTGACCCCTTTTACCGTCAAATTTCCCCTTTGACCCCTTAGGCCACGTTTGATAAGATTATTTTCGTTTGGCTAGCCTAACCTTAGAATAATTCACGGAAGTTAGAGATCTTTTGCAGAAAGCTAAAACTTCGACGTTGTCCAAAATTTTTACTCATCCAAAGCAAGATTAAAAAGCCACTTAGACTTAGTACCATGGTCTAAGTGAGAGGCCTTAAATTTGATGAGAGTAAAACAACTAAAAAAAAAGGGTCAATTCCAAGAGAAAATCTAATCACTGAATAGTATGATAAATATTTTTGCTAGTGACAATTGCTGCACTAAATTTTCCAACACAATCCTTGTATATTCACAAACAGAGTTGAAGTACATTTGTTCTTCTGATCTGATAACCAAAACTTGTTAGCCTTACATCAGTCCCGGAGTAAAAGAAGTTGATGATTTCGAATAACGTTCAAGGAGTAACAAAACCCTGGCAGCCTTCCTCCTATGGCGACCATCCTCATGGATGTTCGTGCTAGTTAGACCAGCAAGACTTAATCTAGCTGCTGATCCATACACATCAACCATTTCCTTTGACATGAAAACCTTTTCGAGGAGACTCAACGCGTCTTCTTGTAGAGAATCTGTTCCCCAAGACAAGATCTCCAACATCGGCTTTATGGCATCAGCCTCATGCAAGACGCTGGCTCCTCTTTGAGGAGAGGCTTCGACAACCAATGTCGAAAGAGTTTGAATTGCTTCAATGGCAGTTTCATACACCTCTCCCGATAACAGCCTAACCAAGTCAGGCAAAGCTTTTGCTTCCAAAAGACAGAATGTGGAAGTCACAGTGCAGATACCACCGTGCGCTGAGCATAGTGGAGCGTTCGATGGCTTGAAACAGGACCAGCAGCCCGAGGGTTTGGAGACAATGGTGAGCTTTGGAGTGCTTGTGGAAAGATTACCAATCAGAGCTGCAGCTCTTGCCCTTGCAGTAACTGAGCTGGACCTGAGAAAGTTTACGAGCAAAGGGTATGCTCCTCCTTCAACCAGTGTACGCTGTGATTCCAGGTTTGTGGGATCCGTAAACCTGAAAAGAGCACCTAGAGCATTTTCTTTTGCCTTCAAAGTCCCTGTTCTTAAAATGTTTATAAGCACAGTATGTCCGTCCAGTTCGATTAACTTCATAGTTAGTGATCTTTCCGATTTTGGTAGGTTCGCCAATAATCCAGCAGCAGCCATCTGTGCATCATCCTTGTCATCATTCTCAAGGAATCCCACTAAAGCCTCCAGCCTTCTTGGCCTGAGAAGGTATTCCACAACCCCCTCAGTCTCGTGCTGCGAGAAGAGGAAAAGCAAATTTATGGCAATCTCCCGAATCTCCGAGTCAGAGTCATCAAGGAGTGGAAGGACTAGAGACATGGCATTAGGAGTGAGAACAGCCATTTTAACCAGCCCCGCATCAAACTTGCAGATTCCAAGAAGTGAGCGCAAGGCAGGTCTTCTAACATTGTAGGCCAAGTTATGATTTTGTTGTAATGCAGTCAAATTGGTGACAATTGGCCCTAACTCTAGTTGGCACCCGTTTTCATCGACAAAGAATTTGGCCCCATCAGTGTCAGATGTAAATTTTTCCAGGATTTCATAACATTTAACAACAATGATTGCTCGCACATGCGGAGTGAACACTAGCTTTAGAACAAGACTTACCCCACCAGAAGCAGCAATCAGTTCTTTGTTGGCACTGCAACCTGATAATTCAGCCAGGGCGGATAAGGACAATAGTTTTGATTCAATGTTTCCAGACACCATTTCGAGCAAAGGAGGTATAATCCCTTCCTCACCAAGGAGCTTCAAATTTGAGTCTACCAATTCCATGTTAACAAGTGTTCTCACCATTGATACCCTTGAAGTTTCCGGCCCTGAAAATTTTATGAGTAATCTATCGTTAAAATTAAAATAGGCAAATCAGAAAATATGTTTATCACATAGCATTTAATGCTACGAGCATTGGATGGCCTAAATTCACCGGACCACACTAAAGCAATAATCCAAACCAATCCAGGTCATCCAGTGCTCGTAGCATGGAAGAATTTTTCTTTATTACATCCCTCTTTTCATTTTTTGTTATGTGAATGAAGGAATAGAATGTATAAAAACAATATGTTATGCAGGTTCTAGGAAATGAATCGTCTTACCTTCAACTATGCGATCAACAAGTGGCTTATACCAGCCAGATTTAGCTGCACAAGAAATGTTTTCCTCATCTATGTCGAAAAGATTCAGCAAGATTTTCTCTGCAATCTCAGCTGACTCCCTCACATTACCCTTTAAAAGGGTGTAAACAAGGAAAAGAATTGTACTGCATTGTTGAGAGAGTTTCCTGCATACAGACACATTCCAACCAGTTCTGTCTTGCAACAATTCATATAGCAACTCAATTGCAGCCTTTGAGATGCTTGAGTCGCGCCCTAAGCAGGGAACGATGTGATCCCACCCCTGGGATTCAACCACTTTCTCCTAAAAGAATTGATTGAAAAAAGATTTAGAATATACTTCAAAAATCCGAAATAATAGATTATATACTTTAAAAATCCGAACAGAGGGAGGATAAATTAAATGAATTAAAGGAAGGGCATTCGATTTCTACCATTCTTTCTTCTTTTCAGTTTTCACTTCCTTTAGTTGTTTTCCATATTTGAAAGGAGTATCAAAGATGCTTACCTTGTTTCTTGCATGCCCTCCGACAATATCCTTTAAGGTGATCAAAATCCTCCTTTTCAAATCTCTGTCGTGAGAGTTTCCAAGTATAGAGATTATAATGTCGGTGAGCCCTTCAATGGTGAGCCAGTCCTTGTTAATAGAACTCTCTGTCATAAGATCTTGCATTTGGCTTAAGGCCCCTAATATTGACGTCTCAAGGCCCGATAACAACTTTTCCTTGGCAGTTCGAATCTTGAGACAATAATTTAGCTCTCTCCACTCTTCTATTGATTGTCTCAGTGGGATGTTACACCTCCAGGAAGTATCTTGAAGAACCTCATGAGTTTCGGGGTCTGTTCTCTCACCACTTTCAAACCAAGATATGATTGCAGCTCTCTCACATGTAGTACCGGTGCAAAGACTGACTGGTTCAGCCATCACAGTTTTTGTAATACAGCATATAAAAGGCTTAAGTGGTGGAATATATTCTTCGCTCGAGTCATATCTCTGTATGGCCTGCACGCGTTGGTTGTATTGTTTCTTGACCTCTTCATAATCCCTTGCAGCATCAGCTCGAGAAAGCAGCTCAATAACCTGATCTAAGAAGAAAACTTCAGCTCTTTCTTTCCTGTTGGCAGCTTCTTCTTTCTCCTTTCTGAAATCTGCAAGCTCTTTGCTTATCTCTGAGGGCTCTAAAGGCACCCCAACTGCCATCGCTATTTCTGCAAGCATATCGTTTGCAAATCCTTGGTCAAGTGTCTGATCATCAAGACCTTGTTTTAGCTTGTCGAAAACTTGGAGCTGAGACTGTGAGGCCTCAATTTCCACTCTCTGCATTTCATTCTGTAACCTATCCACCTGATCAGATATCCCCAATAAGACATCGGTGTTTGCAACGGACAGAGCAGCCAAAGACCTTCCAATATCCCTAGTAACGTCTTGTACCTCCTTGACAATGTGCCGGCACTTGACAAGCAGGTAGAAACGTGCTCGGTTTTTATACTTGTCAACCAGATTATTTGCCCTTTTAACATCTGCTTCGAGGGACTCCAAAGCAAGCCGGGCAGCTTGAGAATCATTCAATTCTTGACGCTGTAGTTCTTTCAAGACCGATCCAATGTCAAGCAAGTGCTTCGAAAGGGCCTTGAAACTCTCCTTGTCAAAAAGATCTTTCGCGGCGTTAGCTGTTTTAATGACCTGGTTTGTTAGCACGGCCAAGATGGTACCAATAGGTATAAGCTCCAATGCCATGGTAATATTCTGTGCCAAAGGATGCTTTATTCCAACAGAAAGACGATCTCCTGTAAGATGAAGGCTACAACTACTGAAGCATACTTCTCCTGACCACCGATCCAACTGACCCAGAAGATGAATTTGGTTTCAAACAACGGCTCCCAGCTTCTTTTGTCTCTCAGATTGTGGCCGCTAAACATAGAAAATGGCAAAAGTGCTCCAGTTGTGCTCCAAAAGTGCAGTGCATCATTATATTTACACTTGTGCTCCAGTTGGAAAATGGCAATATTGCTGCAGGGAACAAGACTTTAGACAAGTCAAGCCTTCTTTCTCTTGCTCTTGTATTTTTTCCGGGAAATTTGTATTTACTGGTAAACCACGCATCATGGAAAATTCCACCTACTGAGGACGGTTGCACAAAAAGTCGTTGATTTTATGACATTAATTATTACTGATGTGATAAAAAGGTGTGACAAAAATGTAAATTTACGTATTTATAAAGTCGAGTTTATATCTCGGTTAGTTAAGAGAATTCGCTTGTATACTCAAAATACTAAATTCGAGTCCCTTCTCCTCTAATCGCTTGCATGGAATAAAAAAAATAAAAAAATAAAAAATAAAAAAATAAAAAAACATTTCGTCTATCAGTGGACCAAAGACATTTTCTGCGATGGCCAGCGGTCCGGCGGAATTTCGATTCATGGGTTGGCTGTGGCCAAGAATCCAAAAGCCCAAATCCAACCAGGATGATGAGGATATCTCGGGATATTTTCTTAGGAATTTTTGTTACAGCATCTGCAACTGCCTTCTTGGTGGCCGTCCGGCAAATAGACGTCCCGAGGAATTAGCTTCTCAACTATCACAACTCTTGGATGACCCAAGGATCGGCTCCCAATGGCTGGTAATTTACATCAAATCCCAAATTACAGGTCGGAGAAAGGTTTTCTCAGGGATTCATACAACTCTGAACAAAAGGCATTTCGAATGAAAGATGGAACAACAATGGCTCGAGTTTGCAAGTCCACAAAAACGATTAATCTCAATCGACCATTAAAGCACAGAATCAACAGTAAACACGAGAACTTCAACCATCCGAAACTACATTCAAGCTTAACCTAATCAAAGTTAGCAGTACACGGTGATACTTCGAAGATACGATAGCAAGCAAACGATGGCAAGAAGTAGTGGTTCCATTCAAGCTCTTGTTGTGGAATCATCACATTCATATTTTACAAACAGCGGAGACGCACGCCATCGCCAAAACTAGAGGCCATACTTGTATTCCAAGAGCTAATCCACTTACTAACCACTCAGCATTGCCATTATTTAAACCGAAATCCAAACAAGAACATAGCATTTTCTGTACAGCAGCAAAGCACTTAAGTACCAAAGCACTTAAAGCCTCAACGGGCAGCCTTCTTCCGAGCTAGCTCTCGTGCCATCTCCCTCATTTCCTCCGGTGATGGAGGTCTCGGTGCCTCTGGTGGATACACTACATACGAATGCTGAAGACCAAAACACAACAGCTTAAGTCATAATTAAATCCATTTATGATTACCTCTCAACTATGCTTAATCCCACTGAAACATACTTATATTATAAACCCACATCAGATTTCAGCAAACTTCTCACTAATCATCATGCAATGCCAGATTTCTTATCACCTCAACTTTGAATCCTTCAATTTAATCACACTAAAACACTATAACCAATAAACCCAACTCAGATTTCAATCAAATCTTGCCGGTATCTCATTTCTTTCTTTCATTTTTTTCAATTTATATATTGAAGAAAAACTAATACAATTTCAATGAGAGAGAGATTACATTGCCCATGAATCTCTGGAGATTCTTAGAGTTGTTGGCGAAGGTGTACATAAGAACGACGGGGATGGCGACGTACAGCCCAAATTTTCCGATCTCCAGAATTCCCTTTGATGTTCCCACATTCGACATGTTCCCTCTTCAATCAGACGAATCGAACTTCACCTCTTTCACTCGCTCAAGTCTGAATCTTCTGCTCACAAACCCTAGAAAAATGATCGACCTTCTCAACTCAGAGAGATTTAATCACCTCATTGAATTGGATACGTGGACTGTTTCCGGGTGCTTGAGTGTCCGTGACATTGGGCCGGGCTATTTAATCTCCTCATTTCTATGAGCTTTGCTTACCGAATTAAAATAATAATGGGTAATATTTCATTCATTTCCAGCCCATTACCTCTAACCAAACAAGGGCCCATATGCCAGTCTCATAACCTGGATCCCAATAATCTCTCCCACAATATTTCCCTCATGTTATAAATAGGCAAAAGTTAGAGAGATAACTTTGTTAGGAACATGAGCGAAGCAGGTGTAAAATATCACACTCTAACTTTAGTAGCTATAACACAAAGATAGCAAATAAAGAGAGGCAGGGATCCTGATATTATTTCTTTGATTCCTTCTTTCGCAATGTACATTTTAATAACACACAGAGTGCTCTATTTACAAAGCAACTCCCGTGACAACCATCCAAACAAAAATTATTACATTTTGAAAGTATCACACAACCATTATTCCCATGTCTCCATTACTTTGTGTGGGCATTCATTATTCATCCACTAATTTTGTAACACTTCCCCTTAGATGCCCACATATCAACATCAGTTGCCTTGTTAAAACCTTGCTGAGAAAAACCCAGTGGGAAAAAACCATAGCGAAGGAAAAAGAGTACAACTTTAACTGGATTGTTGATATAGTGTTAAGTATGATTATGTTGTCTCATTAAAACCTTGATTGGAAAAACCCAGTGGACAACATGCATGTATCATGGATGCTCCCCCTGATATGTATCTCCCCCTGATTCCGCATTCTTCAAATTTAGCTGATTGGTAAGCTGACGTAATCCGATACTCTGCACTAGCTTCTGAAATGTGCACTTTAGTAGAGATTAGGTGAACAGGTCTGCCAGATTTTCATTAGAACGGATTTGTCTGACTTCAATAACTTTAACCTTCTAAAGCTCATGTGCACTGAAAAACTTTGGAGATATGTGTTTAGTCTTATCACCCTTGATGAATCCTTCCTTCATTTGGGCAACACAGGCTGCATTATCTTCATGGATGACAGTTGGAGTGTCTATCTTTGAAGTTAAACCACATGAATTCCAGAAATGATGGATCATTGATCTTAACCAAGAACATTCACAATTGCTTCATTTAAAGCAAGTATTTCTAAGTGATTTGAAGATGTAGCAACTAATGTTTGCTTTGTTGAGCGCCATGAGATTGTTGTATCTCTATTAGTGAACACATATCCAATTTATGAGCGAGCTTTATGCAGATCAGAGAGAAAACCAGCATCTACATATCCAACAAGGATCTAGTCATTTGTGGATTTCTCTAAGTAGAAGAGACCCATATATGTTGTCCTATGAAGGTATCGCCAAACATCTATGACTCATTTCCAATGACGAATTGTTGGAGCAGAGCTATACCTTACTAACAAGTTAACTGAAAAAGCTATATCTAATCTAATACATTGTGCTAAATACAATAAAGCACCTATTGCACTCAGATATGGTACTTCTAGACCAAGGACCATTTCATCATCTTCTTTTGGACGAAAAGGATCTTTCTTAATGTCCAAAGAACGAACGACCATTGGCATGCTGAGTGGATAAGCTTTGTCCATGCCAAATTGCTTCAGGATTTTTTCAATGTAAACTGATTGGTGGACCAAAATTCTATTGGCACAATGTTCGATCTGCAGCCCGAAACAATATTTTGTTTGCCCAAGGTCTTTTATTTCAAATTCTCTTTTTAGATATTCAACAGTTTTGTTGAGCTCTTCAGGGATTCCAACTAGGTTCATATCATCGACATATACTGCCACTATAGCAAATCCAGAATTGGATTTCTTAATGAACACATAAGGGCAAATGACACTATTGGTATATCTTGCTTTGATCAAATACTCACTAAGATGATTATACCACATTCGTCCAGATTATTTCAGCCCATACAATGATCGCCTTAATTTGATTGAGAGCATACCTCGTGGTTTGTTAGTTGTTTTAGGCAACTTAAGTCCTTATGGGACATTCATGTATATGTTAGTATCTAATTCTTCATATAGATACGCAGTGAAGACATCCATAAGTCGCATGTCAAGTTTTTTGAAACCACTAAACTTATTAAGTAATGGAACGTAATTGCGTCTATTACAAGAGAGTATGTCTCCTCATAATCAATTTCAGGTCTTTGTGAAAAGTATTGTGCAACGAGTCGTGCTTTATATCTTGTAATCTAGTTTTTCTTATTAGCGGTGCAAAACCCTACAAGAAACCTCAATTACTGTCGGATTTTTGGTAAAAATCCAACATCAAATCATGCAATGTCGGATAGGGGAACCGACACCGTTGCCAGCGTCACGAAAAGGGTATTGACGTCGGTTAGTCCCCTTAATCCGCCACCAAGAAGCAAAGTAATATAAAATAAAAAAGGAACAACAACGTCGCTTAAAAGTGACATAAAACCTTACGTCGGTTAGAAGCGACATTAAATTATGATATTATGGTGGTTCTAACTGACATCAAGTTACAACTAAACAATTAAAATAATAACCTATTGTCGGCCCTAACCGACACCACAAACCATTAATATGAAAAATAAAATAAAAGTTTGTCTCAGTTCCTCCGTCGACAACCTTCACTACTATTTCTAGCCGCTACTCAGTTCCTCATCCTCCATTTCATGCTACCCACTGAACAACATATTTTTTGTCTTGATTCCGGAACGACATTGAGTGAGATCATCGTTGCTTGATGGAACCAAAAAGATCCTCATATGAATGCTTAGGGGCAACAGGCCACGAAACTATCTCCACAACCTTGTAAGACACTTCAGGATTCAGTAAAGGTTTCTAGAGATGCTACCTTCCGAGAGAGTGTCTTACCAAGAGGGATCGTAGACAACATTAAGTTAAATCAGCTCGGGTTTTCATACTTAACAAGATTAAATGGTGAGAGTTCTCAAAATGTGACGAGGTGTTACCTCTAGCTCCATTACAAGATTTCCGATTGGAGGGTCATTTCTCAACCCATCGGGCCTTATAATCGTGTAGTTTATACCAAACTTCCTAATACTCATTTGTAACCCACGAGATTTACATCAGGCAAAGTTTGGACTACCGGTCCAAAAACACTTCGCCTTTCCAAGGAATTTAATTCTGCTTGGATTCCATCTTTCCACTTAGGCCAATCTTGTCTCTATTTGCATTTATCAACAAGGCGGGGCTCAATATCATCACTTAATATGATTTCAGTGGCTACTGCGAATGCAAACATGTCATCAATGATTATTTCATTATGATCCCACAATTCATTAGTACATGCATAATTTATGGAGATTTCTTTGCTTTCCATGTACCTCTGTCTTTTCAGGGACATGTGTCTCATCAATGACATTTTCTTTTTCTTAAAGTACAAAATCATGAATTGTGGATTTGTCATTCATTCTCTCTTCCTGAATGATTTCATTTGAATTGTGGAGAGAATTGTTACTTATGTGGTTATTGAAACTAGGGGTTTCAATCCTATTCTTCAGCATATTGGTTAGATATCAATACCATCTAATGGTCATCGAAGCTAGTGTGGCCAATGCGTCAGTGAAATAATTTTTCATCCTCCACAAATAACTGAAGGTAATATGTCTGAACTTTAGGCAGATACCTTCGATGGTATGGAAGTCTTTAAAGATATCTCATAAGCAACTGAACTAACCTATAAGCAGCCAAAACAAAGGAAAGATCGCTAGCATCCTCTAGCTGGGAACTTATGTGAAAGAGGAGAGCAAACAAGAAAATTCGAGTTAGGTGGTCATAATGAAGTACGTTAAGAAATGTAAGTGATCACTAGGTAGCTCTTTTGCTTTATATGGATCGCGGGCATGGCACAATTCTTCTTAGAAGAGGGTTAGTTTGCCCAGTGACTAATACTACCATAATGTACTCCTACCTTTAGCTTCGGCAACCAAAGTCAAGCATATATACAACGATCTTCATGGCCGCTAAGAATGTCCATTAAAAGAAGTAGGCCGATGGGGCCATTTTTCAAGCACAAATAGGACAATAGTGAAGCGGGTGCACAAAGAATGAATGAATGGCTACCTGAATTGAACTCGGCAGTGGAAGAACTTGCTTCAATGCAACATTCGAGCGAAAGGGGAACCTTTTGAGAAATAGGTCCCAAGAATTCATTATTCGTTGCGGTTACAGCCATTGTCGATTCATTAAATTGATCTCCTACCTCACTTTTGAGGAAGGTTGTTGTGCAAAATAGCTCTTTTTGGCGCTTTCAAGACTGAAATGTGCTCGTAATGATCGATCCTGCATCTTCCATAACCAAATGCAAGAGAATTATGAATCCCCTTATATAATATTGTTGATCCCATAAAGTATTGAGCAACGGTGTAGTATCATATTCCAAAAGATATTGAGTTTTTTTCCTTCTTATGAAGGAAGGTCTTTTTCAAAGATTCTATATCTATTTATATATGAAACCGAGATAGTTATCTTTCAGAAAATTAGAATGATAGTGAAAATGCTTATGCTTTTGTCTTTTGAATGTGGGAGAGTCCAACTACATTGCATGGCTAGAATCTGATTATGCTTATGCTTATGCTTTAGTTTTTCAAGGATAAAACTGATTATTAACGAAATTGAGTCTCATCGTACAAGCCGCGTCCAACTATTAAGATTCTCGACATTGCAATATATCATGTGACTTATTATTTCGATGAATCATTTTTTGGACAAAAGAAGATTATGTAAATAATACCTACAACTTCTCCCAATTCAACCAGGTTGCCATGAGTGGGGCTTCTGCCATAACATAATCGGTAGATCCAAGATATACTCTTACAAGTAAAGGGGGTTCGAATAGATATTGGTTGTGTTTGAAAGGTTATGAATTGGGTGACAAGTCTATTTTCAATATCTTGATTATGAAAAAAGTGGGATCACTTCTTATGTCATTGAGAATTATTCTAATCTAGTTCATGACCTATTAGAAGCAGAATACGATATATGGGATCATCACAAACATAAAAAGATTGC